CTAGATAGCTTAAAAGGGGGTAGTGATTTGTGGGAACAGTGCAGCGAGAAAGAGGAAAAGAGGGAGGCAGTGAAAAGTTAAAGGAAGGTGTGGGCAGTAAATCCTGAGAAAGGGAAAGGTGAAGGCAGTGGAACTATTGAGGGAAAGGTCAGGGCAGAGCAACTACAAAGGAAAAGGAGCTGGTGGCGCAGCTATAGCAGAAAAGGAGAGGGCAGTGCAAATATTAAAGAAAGGGTTGCAGTGCAGATAGAGATAGGGAGGGAATGGGGGACAGTGCAGTTATTGAGGAAATGAGTGGACAATATAACTATTGATATAATGCACTGTTAAAGATAGGAACTTGACAGGGAGAATTGGGAGCTGGAGAGGTGCTGGAATGTAGGCAGATATAGGGACAAGGAACAGAAAACTGGACAACAAATAAATAAGAAATTTCAGAAAACAAAGCAACAAGATGGAGGGGGAATATAGAGACAGTGTAAGAGCAGGGATGAATTTGTGTCTGAATGTATACATATAAACACTGCCTGTGTCCAAATTAACCATAAAACTATTGTTTTTGTAGATCTCTATTCTCATGATAGTGTACCCATTGACTATTCAGACATGCATGTGCATTACATGAGAGTGATGTTTATTAGTGTTGTATTGTTATGCATGACCATGTGTCAGAGCTTTGTCTGGACCATGTATGAGAAACTCTCATCAGTGCAGATGTGCAGCGATTACGAGGAATTATGCCAGTTGTCTTACATAAGTTCCAAAGGGTTTCCATGACAACAGTAAACAATTGGTAGATAGGTATAGTTGTACCCAGTAGATTTTCTCTCTGTATTGTGATGTGTACTTTTTTTGACTTGATTCCAAAACAAAGAGTTCATGTAACTACAGCAAAAAAGAAAGGAATCTTCCACATAATATTGTAAGAAAATATGAAGAATTAATAACAGTGCTTCTGGTTCGTTTGAAGGTGTGTATTCTAGTCAAGCTTGTTACAAGCTGCACTATACATCTCTCATCTATTTACAGGCTCAACAAACACAAAACATGTATCAGCACTTCATTTTTGCTGATTTTTTTTCTTATTTTCTTTTATTTCTATTATTTATTCATTTTTTAAATTTTTTTGTTTGATAACTGCTAGTGTGACCTGTTAGCATACTTAAGAGTTTTCAGAACATTAATATCATTTCAAGAGGGGGGAAAATGTGGACTTAATTTTAAAAGGTTTATTGAACTTTATACAGACATGTTTGCACTATACATATCCATCTATTACCAAGCTTGAATTTTGTTCATCAGTCTGTTACCACTATTACCAAACAGCACTACAGGTCTGAGTTTTGTCCGTCAGTTGGTACCACTATTACCAAACGGCACTACAGGTTTGTATTTTGTCCTTCAGTCTGTTAATAGTGTTAAGGTAGGGCACTACAGGGTTGTGTTTTGCCCGTCAGTCGGTTACCACTATTACCAAACGGCACTACAGGTTTGTGTTTTGTCCTTCAGTCTGTTAATAGTGTTAAGGTAGGCACTACAGGGTTGTGTTTTGTCCGTCAGTCTGTTACCAGTTAGAGGTTCCATTTCAGTGGTCAATGTCTCTAAAACTCTTCTTTGGTTAAGAAAAAACAATACAGTGCACATTAAAACTTTGGTTTTGGCAATATTTGTAAAAAAGGTAAAGTTTGAATAGAAAGGAGCAGTTGTCGTTGTTTAAGGATATGTAGCTGATGAATGCTTTAGTTCACCCACCTGCAAAAATGGGTACCAAGGAAGATTCAATTTGAAATGATCGATATACGTATAAATGGGATATACACAGCCAACATCATGTTGATCTCTTTCAAAATTGTCCTTAAACAAACTTCTATTCTAAAAATCAAAGGCACATTTTTTTTTCTTATTGAAAAAAAGACAACCATGTTTATTGAACATTATAAGTTCATGCTTTTTTGAGTAAATATGCACACACATGTAATGCAAACAGCACTTCATTTCCAGCTTTGTGCATGTTGTTTGACTCTTTACTTCAAAAAGAGAAGTTGGCATTTTTACCATTTGTGGCTAATTCTGTTCCAGGCTGAGACACAGCTTATGGTGTATATAACAACATTGAAATCATATTAGCAGCTATTTTATTTGAATTTCTATAGACAGGAAGAGAGGTGATCAAGTGTTTGTTTGAGAGTTTAGACCAAAGTTTGTAAAGTTTTGAGTTTCTCCAAATTTCAAACCCTTTATCCAATGAAAATGCAAGTAGGCAAACAGACTAATTTTAAAATTGGTATGACTCATTGTGATTCTGATAATTCCCGGGTGGACGGATCTTGTCAGTGTTAACGGCCTTGAACTTATTGCAAGGGGATTTATACTACTTAGAATAAAATCACATCACGTTTACACAGGTAAAATTAGTTGTAAACGTACCGACAGGATACACATGCGTTTGTCGGGGTAGCCAAATAGACTGCAACGATAAGGTATGTTTACTCAAAGTAAATTTCCCAAAACATCGATGGAAAGAAATGCTGTGCTCCATTTTGTTTCAAAGCAGGAATGTGAAAAATACTGAATAAATTTCTAAATATTAAGATAAAACCAACTGGAAATTATGTTTTATTTACACAAGAATGATCAGTACATTGGAAATCTCCCAGGTGTTAGAACATATCATGTGACTTCAGTATAGCGCTTTATTGTAGACATCAGAAACTAGTCTTATCTACCGTAGTATTACATGTGTATTGTAGTAAAATGTATGTTTATCATACTATATGCGTTACTATTTGCGTCAATAGTGAATATACAGTGAGTCATGCATTAGGTTCTATAAGACATGAAAATCAGCTGATCACAACTTTAGGTTGCATGGCTGCACTTAACATTTTAGGTATGTAGTTTGGTTGTCCAGAGTGATACCACATTGTCCATATGCTGGCCATATTAAATAATTTGTCTGGCACGAGAATAAAAAGCATCACACATAGATAATGGTATATATAGATACAAAGTGAAATGGACTTTTTTAAAACAATCAGCTCGGGAAATATTTTTTGTCCTCTACTGGGGGAGATGGGGACTAAAGATTTGTATTGTATTTCATACTTAAAGTTGTCTTTCATCCTGTCCTCTTCATCCTTACGTACTTATTTCATACAGGCTGTAGCTATCTCCTACACTACTTGTCACTGCAACTTCTCTGATACTTTGGGCATGGATTCGCTTAGGTGAGACAGTTTGTCAGGTACAAAAAGTAGGTCAATGTCACCTACATATTGACCTACATCAAAGGAAAGATTGTCCAAGTGCTACCACAATATGACCTTCAGTTTGACCTTCTACCTAAACGTTTAATGGATGGTATTATTGATTATAATTAGTAAAATTTGTTTAAATCAGTGATATCACCTACTAAAGTTAAGGATATTAATGCATTCATGCACTTTGACACTACCAATAAAATAATGAAAACCAGACTGAAATGTGTTGAATCACAGACTTAGACCTACGTTACACTATAAATCTGTGGTGGAATAGTCTGGTTGTATTTTGAAATTGCTCAGCTGTGGTACCTAATCTATTGACTTTCTTAAATTCTTCCAAAAGAAGAAAATCTATTATGGTTTTATACATCGTTTTACTAATACACTATTTTGTCCAATCAAATTATCAAAATGGAAATAAATATTCATGGAAACAAATAAACAGGAATAACAGAGAAAGTCTAACATAGTGTCAGATATGTTTCTGTAGTCAGGATATTTATCAGGAGAACTCTCACATTACTAATAACTTCACACTATCTTTACACATAATTGTAAGTTTCCTGTAAGAAACTATTATGTTACAGTGTTCTATTGGACATTTAGAGTTATCATGATCCTAGAAATCACAACTGTAAATTTTATTGCTATTTGCATTCATGAACCACTTTAAATAATTCATCAAGTGTTACTGAAAAGTACTCTTCTGTGTCTTTAATTAACACATAAACACAATTTCACTTAATTAAACATTAATTTTCAAAGTTGAACTATAATTACACAATTAACCATTTGAAAATTTAAAGAAAAATATCTTTTAAAAAAAATACCAAATATAGTAACATGGTTATATTTAATCAAGATTAATTAGCAATATGTGAAGATTTGTGTATAGATGTTTCATTAGACGAAGACTTAGTTGATAGTGGGGAGACATTTCTTACTAGGGGGCCTGTAAAAGGGATTACTCTGGTATTGTATTTCTGTGATTTTTCATTTATACTTAGGAAGTGTTTCAGGGGGTTTATCTGTAAATATTGATCCACAATGGTTATAGACCCCCACAACGGTTGTGTATCTGATCAAGACTTAAGTAAACATATAAATGGAACCTATAGGTGTTACTGTGACACCTGTAATCAAGGTTAACGACACCTGCTAACAATCAGGTATCTTTTACATATGTAATAAAAGCTGTGTAGAAAAAGTCTGTCTTAAGTCTTTTCCTACTATTGCAAAATTGGCCGTATAGAGTTCAAAGTGGTATATGACTTTTCTTCCACATTATTCATTAGTGTTTTCCCCACTCACTGGTGAGCTACAACACACCTGAAGATTTGGTCATTAATACTGTGTATACCTAGCTCCTGTATACTACACTGTTGGTTTTACCCCCTACAGACTTACCAGGTAAATACTGAGCTTTATTTGTGAACACTGATAGTTGGGAATGAAATGCAGCTAGAATTGAAATAATAATGGTATCAAATTTATTCTGTATCTGTTAATTATCCAGATAATTTCTTTGAAACCAGTGTTCTTATCTAGTGTGATCCTGTGTTCCCTAATCAGCAGGTCGAACTGTACTGGTCCCAATCAGTGCACAGTGACTGACATCTCGATCGACCAATCAGCTACTAGCTGATTTTTTAAGCTCCGCCCCCCTAGAGTGGCAATGAGTAGATACAAGTTTTACTACAGCACAAGCACAGCAATGAAAACAACAGCACATGCTGTTCTGTGAAACCCAATGTTGAGTACTATCCTAATGTCTGATTACTGTGGATTTCTATGTAGTAGTTAAGAGTGCTGATACTGGTGTGTATGTGTCTGGATTATCATCCTGGAAATATAACCTCACTATGTACAGAGAGCTGATTTCATCTCACCACAAGGAGACATACCTGTAAACTATATAGGATTTTTTTTACTCCAGTAACTTGTTTATTACCTGTCTTTAAGACCCAGGTGAAAATTTGGCATGACTCCAACTGATGTGTAGTGACAGTATCATGTCATAAAGTTTAAAGTGGTATAAAACTTGAGGATTAATAAACAGACAAACGTGTAGACAGGTTTGTTGGTGTCTTACTATAGTTACCTGTATTTGTTCTAGGATTCACTAGTTAGCGGATAACACAACTGCACCATGGACTTATTACCAGTCCTGATGCTCCTCCAGGTCACGGCCACTCTCTCCCAGGATTGGCATCGTGACTTTGAAGCTGTGAAGATCTGGCAAATCAAAGGTAAATATCAATTATTTGTATAGATCAGTGCTTCTGGAATAGCTTCAGGTTAACTTACTTGATTTGGAAATATTTAACTTATTTGATTTGGAAATATTTAACTAACTTGATTGGGAAATATTTAACTAACTTGATTTGGAAATATTTAACTTACTTGATTTGGAAATATTTAACTTATTCATATTATACAACATTTAAATTATCATGCTATATATGAGAGCATATGTAGAATGAAATGTTAAAAAGAGGTGCATTTTGTGTATAACATTTCCAGTTTTAGCGTGTAGAGTTGACACAAACCCCTGCCAGATTTTAATCTTGGTCAATGTAGACATTTTAATGGCAGGGTTTTGACCACCACTACAACTACTTCTAATGTGTTGACTTAGTCAGCAAGGTAAACCCTTCACCAGTCCTGATTTCTTAATGGTCAACAGTATTATACAACGAGGTCAGTGTTAGGGATGGTCCAGTGTCACAGCTAGCTAACCTATTTATCAGGGGAAATCCCACAGGTAAAGTCACGTTGATTGCACACCTGTGAAAGTCTGGGTTTTTTGTGGCATTACCTGAAGCGATGGGTAAAGATATACTTCAGAAATGTTGATGAGATACTCCAAAATTGGTTTCTGACATGTACGGTAGCACAAAATAAATAACTCCACAACAACAGGATATTTATATTGAAATCTATCACAGTCTTTCTCTCCCCTCTCGGCTTCTTTTTTAAAAGCTGAGGTGGTACAAAAATTATAATCTCAACATTTTATATTGAAATTCATTTATTCATATCCTTCTTATACTGAATAACAAAACAAGTTGAATTTAAATAGAGGGGGGAGGGCTATTTGATACAAAGGAGTTGTCAGGGTGGACATAATAGGTTTGTGGATCAGGGTAGGAGTGTTGGTTACAGGTAACTTTATACCCAGTAGAACCTGTCACATAGTCCTGCCACAAACCAACATCTAATCCTCCCCACTGACACTTCCCATCCAATACCAACAGCGCGGCAAAGTCAACCAACCGGCACCAGGACGCGTGATGTGTATACCAAAGGAGGCACATGGAGTCAAAAACCAGTCCCGCTTGTTTTGGTCTAGGTATCTGTAGTAGTGATATGTTAAATCTTATGAAGGATCATCATCTGGCATTAGGATATCAATTTCTTTCGTCACTACAGTCTTACAGGGATGGGAAATTTACACGAGAAATATGTTTACGAAAACAAAATTATTTGGTTAAAATCTATCAACAGGATATCTTTTAACAGTCTTCATCTAAATGATAAAATAAGGCATTTATCTTTCAGAGCTGCACATATTCATTTGACACTGATACCCTATTTCATAACTCTAGAAATGAAATGAATTGCATTAGGTTTAATTGATTTAGTGAAAATATTTCATAATTCCTCCAGTTCATGACAGTGCTGTATACAGTTGAGTCTTGGAGTCTCTTGAGTACAGCTGACTCAGACTCACTATCAAACGGCTCCTCACATCTGGATCTTAGATACAGCACTAGCTTAGTCCAACAGATTTGTAAACACTCACAAAGCTGTCAAAATCATCATAAATTATCCCATAAAATATTCACATGTCATTTGTCTGAAAGGATCTGTAAATGGATATTCACACTGATATTTGGGCTTCTGTAGTAAAATTGGAGTAGGGAGGGGGCCCTCAATCAATATTCAGGTCATGGATACAGACGTCAGGGCATTCCTTCTCCCTGGACATTCACAAATCAATGTACTGAAGGTCAAAATTATACAATTTTGTAGAGCACATTACTACAGACTGGAGTGAGTCTGTCTTGTGGTCCAATTATCATGATTGACCATTCCTTGACCTGCTGGCTCACCTGTTGAATCAATATAGTGGTCAGTTGTGACACCTGTGCTTGATAAGACCAGGGTAGTTACCTGTGTACTGCACCTGGATCTTTATCATGGTGAACTTAGTCATAAACATTGGACCTGTGTGTAACAATCTTTTACACACAGTCCTGTGTGTATGACTGTATACAGATCTATGGGATGGAAGTTTTAAGGGGTTAAGGGGTATAATTGAAAAAACTGACAGGTAGATACATATATAACACAGCCATATGGCTGTCGGTAATCTCGGCCTCAGCTCCTTTCTTCTCGTCTGCCAAGTTGTATTGGCCCCTGCCCCTATAAAACTGACTCTACTGGTCTGAAGGGTAAATGAAGCGGGACTTTTTTTGGCACCACTAGTTCTGTCTATCAGCCCTAATCTGTACTGGACCAGGGTCTTGATCCACTGCTCCTACTGAAATATTATCAACACATCTTATACTTCTTGCAATTTTATGAAAGTTTAGAAAAAAATTGGGACAAGATATGATAGGGGACAAAATTTGTAAATGCCGTGCTACTAGTTTAAAAAGATTCATTGGGATATTTAAAAGTGGGGTGATAATTTGATTATAATTGGTTTGGTGAATTGGTTTGAAGGTTCAAATGAATTTTTGAGCCTTTGATCTGTGAACACTTTCTCAGCGGAGGGGGAATAGGTGAAAAGTAGTAAAAATTAATGAGTTCACAGGTAAAATGTTGTCAGGCACTTCTGACCAGGAACAATAGTCCACTAACAGGTCTAGGCGAGGAAATCAGGGGGTCAAACAAGCAGGCGAGAAAACAATAGCTTTGGTAACACCTGCTGCTAGCTCATTAACCTGCACACAGGTGTCACATTTAACAGGTTACAACATATTTACCTGTGATAGGAGGGTGATAATTCCTCTCTTCTATTCCAATTAACACCACAACTAATCATACTGACATTTACATAAGCTAGGCATTTATCTACTTGCCAAGCCTAAATAAATAACAATTAAAAACATTAATTGTTATTTTTTATTAATATTTTTAAGTAAGAATTTAAGGATAGGAGATGAAAAATAGGGGCAAAAATAAAAGCTAGAAAAAAATTCAGAAATGATACAAAACTCTAATAACCATGCAGGTGTTTTTGTCAGCATCAGTTTTAACGGTGATATGGATCACTTGAAAAGTGATTTAAAATATAGATTTCAGGTTGTTTATAGAAAAAGAAACAATGTGGAGGTCATTAATATAACCTTGAGAAATTGCCTTACTGTATACTTTGTATTGTTTATTTTTATGTACATTATATACATGTTTTATAGTTGTCATTGTACGAACAAAAGGAACATGGATTTAATTATATTGAAGGTGACTCAGTAAATAATTTGTATAATAGAATCTTTATTCACAGTTCTGAAACATGTAACACAGGGTGATTGTACTGACTTACCTGTAATAAAGATGTTAAATAGCATTGTTTTAAACTTTAATTCATCAGTAAGAAGTCATGTGATTGACATGTTGGTTTTCCATTACAAGTTTCTGAAGTTCTATATTCTACAGACATTTAACCATGTCAGCTGATATTTGAATTGTGGTTTGAGCTGTACATTGTTGGTGACTCCGAGGGTCAAGGTCTGCATACACCTCTCAATAATTACGGGTATAAAGTTGTGTCATTGTCTCTGTGTTTTGCAGTGTGTGCATATTTACTGTATAAACTCTGAATATATCAAATGTTAAATTTGGAAAATGTCAAGTTAATTTCAGTGTATTTCATACATTCATCTCACTTTTAACCTCTGGGTCCTAAAACAGTCAGAAAAATCCCCCAAGCATTTGTTTTTTTCAAATTAACAGAGAACCTTACTTATATTGAAAAGCAAAAAATGTGTATAAAGTAAGATATTTTATATTCAGCTGTAGATAAAATATTAATACAAATACATGTAAATGTGTTGAATGTAACATTGAAACAAAATGGCTGTAGGTGACAGATCACACACACAATGTTCACACGCTTGAGATCAGAGGCTGTACAATATGGCTTTATGTAGAATCCCTAGTGATCTAATAATATTGTCCCTGTTACCAATATTCTACACAAACCTGCATCACTGGGTTCTATAATTGACTACCTAAATACTTCATGACTGGAAAAGGCTATGTGGTATCCGTCATACAAGGAAGCTTCCAATCGTTCAAAATCCAAACTCTATTTTGGGCATCAAAATATGTTTCAATGAATGAATTGATCGCTGATGATTCTAATACATCTGTTTCCTTTTTCTGGTTTTTACATTTCCTGTTTTGATTCATGAAAAATGACAAATAATTCCTGGGTTCACCAAACAACTTTATTTAAGGAAGTGATAGATCAATAATTTGTTGAAGTTGAATTTTAAACTTGAGCTTAGATGTTGATACCATGTAGATGTGTACAAGTCTGAAACATGACTATTCCATCAAAGACTAGATCTACCAGAAAAGCAAAATACCTTAAAAACAACCTACAACTGTTTTTTACTACTTGAGATTTTTTCGACAAGCTACACCGTAACAGGAAATAGGATAAGATGATTTGTGGTACAGGTCCTCAATAGAAGTATATAATTAACGTAGCCGGATTTCCTACACTTCACACCGTACTTGTAGTATCAAAGTCAAACCGAACCAGGTATATCCACGAACATTTCCGTGAGACGACTGTTCATGCAGTATATGTGTTTATTCCTGTGGTTAGGTTTCGATTACTAATATTCCTGTGGCTGCAATATCTTAACTTACTAGTGCTATTCTTTTGCTTTATTTTCTCATTCGATGCCTGTGAAAATATTTTCTCTTCATACTTATCTAACTATGTATGAATTGTTCATGCGTGAGAATTAATCCCCCTTTGAAAAAACATAGATTACGAAATAGATTTGTAAGATTCCTTCAGGCACCAAACTTTCACTACAAAGTGTCTGTGGACATGTCCATTGTCACGTCCTAACAGACATCACAATAGATAAACTATTGTCAACACACATCATGATAAGGCACATTTCCAAGTCATTTACAGATAGGCTGTGTTCATGATTCTTGAACAAACATATGCTGTTTGAAGATAGAGATATTTTATGGAACTACTGGTATAGTCGTC